GGAAGAGCGCCGATAAAACGGTGATTGATAGACTCTTATCGCGTTCGCGCAGGATGCGGTTTCATCGGACGTCATCTTGTGGAATATCTGCTGGATAATGATCTGGTTTCGTACGTGCGAGTCGTGGACAAGGTGCCGCCGCAGACCGCGTGGCTCAACGCAAAGCACCAGCAAGTGTTCGAGAACCCTTTGCTCGAATTCAAAAGCGCTAACTTGATTAACATAGGTAATCACAGTAGGATACACTAGGGCAAGCAGAGAAAGAGTAGGAGTCTTGTTCGATAATTAACGTAAATTTAAAGATCTTTAATCTCGATTATTCTTTAGAAATTTTTGATAATTTGTAGAATAATTGAATATCTCTCTATCATTTTATCTGGTCTTTACATTTTTTGATTAATCAAAATCATCTCTTCGCTCTCTTGCCTCAGTTTATCATGTAAAGTATAAAATATAATGCAGACAGTTATATCTAAAGGGATAATTTTTGTCAATCTATCTAAGCATCCTGCCAAAACGCATTTTCATCTGACGAGCCTATCGATTATGTGTTCAATTGTGCTGGCGAGACAAAGAGCGGCCTCACAGATCCGGTGTATAAAGAGGGAATTTACAAATTGAGCGTGAATTGCGCTCAACTAGCAGCCAAGATTAAAGTCTCGCGTTATGTGGAGATATCTTCTGGCAATCTTAATATCTCTGAAAAGGTATTCTTTTGATATTGATATATATTTTAATTTATGAATATAGATTCAGGACTTATCATTGTGCAATGTTGCATAGACTCCTCATAAGGAAGAGGACGCTGGAGAACCATGGACGTTTGTCACGAAATATAAGTTACAAGTAGAACACGAATTGAAGAATATACCAGATTTGAAATATACTATACTCAGACCAGCCATTGTATATGGTTGCGGTGACAGAAATGGCTTAGGTAATTCTAAAAAATATAATTATTCTTTCATAATTAATTTTATTATTGAAAAATATCTGCATCATCCTCTACCAAATTAAATAAAGAAAGAAAGAAGTGAAGCTTAATAAATTTTACGATTTTTAGCACCGAGATTAGTAGTGGGCGCAGTTTATAAGCATTTAGGAGAGATGATGAAATTACTCTGGGGACCAGAACTTCATATGAATACGGTTCATGTAAGAGACGTCGCGAGAGCTATCTGGTATGTGGCCAACAGACCAGAAACAATAGGCCAGACATATAATCTCGTCGACGAGGGAGATTCCACTCAAGGTTCCATAAGTGCCATAGTCTCAGAACTGTTCAATATCAACCACGATTATTGGGGCACGACGCTATCAACGCTGGCTAAAGTATATTATTCTTGCATATATTTATATACCAAAGTATAATGTTTAAAAATAGATTATTAAAATTTCAGAATAATAATTACATCTTATACTTTTATGCTTTATAGACTGATATGAACTCTGTTGTTGAAGAAGTAAATGACAAACACATGGGCCCCTGGGCAGAAGCATGTCGCAAGGATGGAGTGGAAAACAGCCCTCTCTCGCCCTACATAGATCAAGAGCTTTTATATAATAAACACTTATTTTTAAAACCTGGAAAGCTTTCGAACACCATAGGATTTACATACCTGTATCCTAAATTAACGAAAGAGGCCCTTACAGAGGTAAGTCGTCAATTTGAAAATCGAATATGAATATAGAAAAATGCACATAAAAATATTTAAAAATGATCTCACGAATTTGCAGGTACTCAATGACTATGTAAGCATGAAAATCTTCCCATATTCTTTGGTCCTGTAAACTTTAGCAATATCGACTGCCGAATTCAAATATATCGACAAGCTTATGATAATTTTATAAATATCAGATACATACGGACGCCAAGCGCCGTTTCACCGTGTGCCTAGAAAAAGGTTCTATACATGTTATATACATTCTATTACACGTGACGCTTGACCTGCGCCAAGAGATAATACTAAATAAATTTATAGAAAAGCGCATATATCTGGAATTCGAAGATTTCGTAGACTGGCCTATCGCCAATGTGATAAAATAGCAATTAATGTACTTAATTATACCAAGTTAATTTTCAAAGTACAGAACTTTTTCGCACCTTTTTTGAAAGGTCACGCTAGTCAAACTCTTAAGAATAATTCGGAACAATGTTAAGATCTTGTGCACGAAAATAGGTATATATATATATATATATATATAGGTATATATATATATATACACACACATACCTACTCTCTTTTTGTTAATAATAGATATTTATTAATATGAAGTAACTTCAATATATATTGAAATAAACATTTATAATTAACCATTATTATTTAATATTAATCAATAATGTTAATTAATCGTTAATATTATTACGATTAAATATGGATTATAGGTTTATTTTGGATATATATATATATACACATATATATATATGTATATATAAAAATGCTTAAACTTAAGATGACATTCATAGTTTATAAATCGATTTGGATGAATATATTTTAGAAAATCATCATAAAAAAGAAAAGAAGATGCTTTTTATATGCCATTTTTTCCAGACTGTGGATTGTACTAATAAAGTTGTTGAGAATCCATGTACTTTTTATTGTTGGATATATGGGATATGTAAGAGGAATTCTCTCTCTTTTATATTCGCTACATTCCAAGATGTATCTTCCATAAGCTGTGAATTAAGTTGAGAAATCTTTCTATTCCAGTCAAATATTACTATCGCATAGCTTTATCGATAACTCGAGTATGTACGACCTAAAGGATCGCATAAGTACAAACATTGTTAGAGACGTGTTTAAAAGGTACACAGAAGATGATATTCCTTATTCATGTATGAATGATTGTTTATATTGGTAGATTTATATACGAGCGCTGCATGTATTTGCATACATTTAATATAAAAACAGAAAGAAAATGATTATTCGTCTATTGGCATTGAATGCCTCAATGATATTAGTATTACATATTTGATTCTATTGTTACACGCCGATGTCGCAGTGTAGATTCTTTGATAATAAAGTTGCTCCATTTATGAAACTGTATATTGATCTTGCTGTATCCTTGTAATATACCAAACTCTTTCCATGTACAGAGGGGACACACATTTTTCTACATAAAATGCATTTATACACTGTCTTAATTTTATTGAATCAGTGGTTACAACAAGACGACGTGTTCAAGAAGGGTCAACAATATTATTAAATATTTCGTATATTTAGTCTTAATACTTCAAACAATAAGATTATAGTTTCATGTAGTTTTTCATTTTTTTATACGTAATATATTAAAATATATATTCTATATAATGTTCTTTGCAGGTAATACATATAATATATATACAAATCGCAGATAAAACGTATGTACAAAGTAACTGCACCCTAAAGAATATGTAATCGCGCATATATTAAAATAATATATCTAATTTAAAAAAAGAAGAGGGTGAAATGAGGGTTTACAGAAAATAAGTTAATAGTCTTCTTATTTTATATATATAAAATTATAATTAACGATAATAGTAAAAATGAATAAATTTTTGCTGAATTCTCTCTTCTCTTTTTGTATATATTATGTGTAAAATAAAGTGTGTAAAGTATATGTCTTGGCAATTATACATACATATATTGTTTATTCTACAGCTAATATACATTATATACACATATATATTTATATATATATATATATATGTATTTATACATAAATATATATATTGTATATGTGCATATGTCACCGGGCGAGAAAATATATTCTTTGAGGTAAACTGTGCATAAATGTAAACAATAGTGTCTAATAGGTACCGAAGTTAAGTTAAAATTAAGTAATGTAAATCACTCTCTGTGCTGAGAGAGTGACAATTACGGAGGTATATTCGTTCGACTAGAGCCGCCGTACAATATAATCAATACTTGCTACTGTGTATTCAACACTACAGTTCGTCTGTGATGAATTATATCGTACTCTGCGTAGAAGGAATGTATGCATATGAAATAATCTTGCACCGATCTCATTGATATGAGGGAGATTTAAAAGATGATGAAAAAGAAATGTTCTTCTCTCTCTTTGGCTGCCTGTATATTGTATATTATTTCTAAATTAAGGTAGTAAAAGAGTAATGCGTAAATAAAAATTGACTGTTAAGAGATCCACAATATGTTGATCCATGTGTCATCTCCAAGCCGTTAATATTATTATAGTAATTAATGATCAATGAATACGCGAAATATTTAGATACAGTAATAAATAGATTATAAATCTATGATATTATGTGTATGTGTGTGTGTGTCATTTTTGACATCTGTATTAATACGAAGAACGCTATATACGATGAGAGATGCTTATTGCTTTTGTATATACTAAGATAATAATATTATCTTCACGGATTTTATGAGACATATACAGAATGTGTCACGTAGAGTGTTATCTGATTGTATCATCATCGGAAAAAACGACCTATAACACATTATGCGAGACACTTTGCATAGTTGACGCGATTATCTCTCCGCACGGCGACTCTATAGTCTCTCTCAATTGTTTACGACACCTAAAACTTATCACATCCATGAAATTATTTCAAGAGCACTATGGTATGTACGGAGTGTTTGGATTAAATTACTGATTGCTATTGTTGGCGTTGCGATTACTTTTCTGCACGGTGTTTTCTACATGATACGCGATATATAATATAGCGATATAAAATCAGGAATATAGCAGCAGAAATGTGTAACCGAAGTAACGTGTGTTACAACTAGAAATGTATAAAAGTATATTACGCTACTTAAATGTAAAAAGATGGATGGGGACAGTTTTGATAAGCGTAAACCCATTCTCTTTCACTCAACTCATATACAACTCTGCCAATCGTATATCTAAAACACAAGAGGAAGTAAAAAATAGCGCGAAAAGCATTATTATTTATTACTACATACTTTCTGCCGCTTGTATTTCACTCAACGCGTCATACCTTTCTTAAAGTTAAAAATCTCTTTTTGATATTCAAATATCTCAAATTTCTATTCTTTTTTTCTTTCTTTTTGTGATAATATTGGTAGTTCTCAAAAAATTATTCTTTAAAGTGTAAGCTGCAGATATACATCTTTTAGAACATAAGAGTGTAATACCACGAGAATATACCTTTGTGTGTGCGATGCGTAATATTAACAATATGTAATGAACTAAGGAACAATCGATTTAGCATCCTGATTTTTTCTCGCCATTATACACCAGCTGTCATCAACGCTTTATAAGATCCATTTGCTAAAATATACCATCAACAAATACAAAAAGTACATGAAAAAGCATATGAATGTATATACCCTCAACAAATATGGAAATAATATAAAATGTAACAGGCGTATTACATTATATATATATATGATAACAAACGCAAAACATTAATTAAATAAAATCGTAAGCCAGACACATTGAAAATGTGCAAACGCGCGCATTCGCAACAAATAAAGTTGCTGCGCAAGAACTATTTAAGAATATATAAATTCAATATCATATATATATGCGATCTGTGAGATTCTCAATTATATTTATAATACATATAACAAGTTCCATGTATTCATGTGTGTAAATAAAACGATTCTTTCTATTTCTGTAGAACTGTATGCGATCTGTAAATATAGAACTATTGTAATGATTTGCGGGGTCCAATAAACGGAGAATAAGTAAATCATGGTGCACAGTTATTAACTAAATATATCCATTAAACATGAAGTATCTGCAGTAACAATGGTATCTTTTCTTTTCTTCCAAGTAAAAAATGAAACTATATTTTCGCGGAACACTTTCCATATATATATATATATTAGACTTCTAACAGACTCTGTTATGAAAATGCGGTATAATATTCTATGGAATGAAGATACGATATAGCTTTTTTTTTAATATATGTGCAGATCGAATTAATCCTAGCGTTATTTGTTTTCATACTGTGCTCATGGTGACTATATTATTGCATGATTCAGGGTGTAATGTGTTCATCTAAAGTATATAATATACTGAATGTAAAATGCAATAAATAACAATTAGTGGAGGTACAGTAATAACATTGACATTTCTACGTCTCACTCTAAAAGATATAGCTTATTCTCTATCAGGTACTGTGTTGGGTTTTTCTGTCATGGTAACATGCACCAGTCTGGAATATGTGTCTTGTATGTTAGTCTCAAAATGCTGCTTCTTGCTTTTTTGTGTAATACACAGAACTGCTTTATACCAGCTAATACGCTAAATATTGTACAACAGAATGTTGACGTTTAATCGTATCGATTACCTAATCGTTTTAAAAACGATATTAATCTTATGAACGGAAAGAAGCCCAAGAAATATGTAAAAATCTTACGTAAATTATTCTGAGGAATAATCTCCGTTAATTATAAAAATATCGCGTCTATTAATACATACAGTCTTTAAGATCTCTTATAGAAGTAAATGAAGTAAGTGAAAAATGAGATGACCTCTATTTCCTTTACGTGCTATTATAATTTGAGTTATTATAATTCTGAGCACAATTATCTTTCCAAATATTCTTCCCATTCATAGGATCCTTCTTTAATTTAAAGTATGACATATCAATAGTCCATTTTAAACTAAAATACAAACTTACGTTGAATATTTTAGGAAGCTACACTCGACAAAAATTATTTTTCATTCGCTATGCACACTAACTCCAAATGTGAAAAAAATTTAATTCTGATTTCTTAAAGAAATCAATGTTTGCTTTTTTTTTATGTAGAAATGACATCTTAATGACACACATATGGTATATTAAAATAAAAAGAAAGAAAAGAAAAGAAAAAAAACACGAAATAAAAAATTTTCTTAACATTTCTAAAAACGCGTAGCATCTGGTTAGAGCCTTTCCCTGTCTTCTTAATACTAAATGTTTTTTCCTCTTGTTTACAATTAAATATGGAAAACTTATTTTGGAATGATCAGTGTCTCTGCGCTTTCCCATTTTAAGCGATCGTCAATTCGAAACTGTTGTCAGAACGAAAATTCGTCAACTGAGTTTAGGCCATGCTTTGCCCGGCATATTTAGCAATTTTATGTTCCCAAACGCGAAGGAATGCACGTCCGTATATCTTTCTACTATACCAGCATTCAAAGTGTGATATTTTTTATGAACATATTCACAATTAACAATTATTCTATCCTATGTACAGAGGCATTTGGAAACTTACTATTTCATTCCAATTAATTTTGTTCGCGCATCTCTTAATGTTGACATGTTTATTTAATTTCACACACAGAATTATTCAAAATTTGAAAATTGATAAAAAATAACAAATTAAGCATTTTTTTTTAAAACTTGTGCAGAAATATTATATATTGATTAAAATATGTTCCTATTCACACAACGCATATATTACGAGTAATTAAAAGAAAAGTATCAAGAGATGTTATCAATTAATCCTTCTATTAATTAGCTTTAGTTTAGTTTTGTAATTATTTTCGCGCAAACCCGTTAATTATTTTCAAAAATATGTAATTTGTTACACCCTCTATCAATCCTTCAATGGTATTTTGAATCAATCTGTGTACACACACACAAACGAGTCCGGCAAACATTTCAAGTATCGTCTACACGATCAATGCACTGCAACAATGCAAAGCAATGAATTTGAGAATCGTATTGCTTTTGTTGGAAATTGTATTGCTTACGCAGACATTTGCTTTATTCTCTGCGCGCAATAAATGTATCTTGTTCATATGTATTTATACGACATGGCGACTAACGCTTTGAATTGAATTTTTGTGTTTGGGTTGGCTCCGACGTATCCATCATACAGCCATCAACTGGTTAGAATATTTACGTTCCTATGTGCATCTTTACTCTTATGCTGAGAAATTTCAATCTTCGGAAAACCTCCTAAGAGGCATATGGGAGGGCGGGGCTCAAGCAAGAACTGGGGCTCTGGCGACTGCCAGTCCGCGAGTCACACATCGCCCGATTAACGTCTTAAAATCGGACACGAATTTTTACATTGATCGCGTGTCAGACAATACTCTTACTTGCACAACATAAGTCGCGTCGAACTTTACCAGGTTGTTGTAGTTTTGCATTGCTTTCGCGGAAAAATTCATTTTTTCTGTTTTCTCGCAATATTGATTCGGAACGATTGACGTGTCAACCATAAGGGAGGAGGAAACAGGAGAATAGGTATTCCTACTTACTGCATACCTCGATACCGGTGCGAAGCATTGAACACCTGAGTGTTTTGCCTAACGCATTTTCACCCGTTTGGTCCGAGCGCCGGAACAGATGCGCACGGGGCTTTTGACGATGATGAAGTCTCTCCGTCCGGACATCCTGAATTGTTATTTAAACTGCTAGTGCTACTGCCTAAAGTACAATTGACCATTGTGAGCTGCGTGCCTTCCAAATCTTGTTCCTCCTCCTCTTCTTGTTGATTATTCGAGGCGGAACTGCCTCTTCTTTTGTACTGTAATCACGAAAATCATGGATGAATTATTAACGAACAATATGCCTCCCCATTGTCCACAAGATGTTAAAACTCGCAGTAATACCTGAGGGTTTTCCATAATATGAACATCTTTCGAGCCTCCATTTACCTCCCATGGCGATAATAAGGGTTCCTTTGCACAAATTTCAAAAACGCCATTAGATTGTGCACCCTACGCAACACATATCGTATATTATCTCTTGATTGAGATATATAAATTCAACTTAAGCAAATTTCATTACCTTTGCATCGGAATGCGGATTCGTTTCGAGCGGAGATGATGGGCATAGCACAGCCAATTCAATCTCGTTCGAGGCACTGGTAGCATTCGCTTGTTGATTTACGGAAGTGGAGGACTGCTCCGCGCAACATCCGTTTCCGTTTCGCGATAGTACACGCCCATTTGTAGGTTGAGCACCGTTTCTCAACGAGCGAGAATTCTCGAACTTTCTCCGGCAGTATATACTGCATAGACATATCGCGATAAACCCGATGCTTATGCTGACTCCGAGAATCACACCTGTTTTTTTAACCATGATAGCATGTAAGTTGAATATAATGGTTAACATGATTATTTTTATATCCAAATCTCTACTCTTTCACTCACCTAGACTCTGATCGGGCTTAGGGTTTTGCGGTGGCTTATCCTCCTTGCCGGACGGATCGGGGACTTTTGACACTCCACCGCCACTGACACTACTACCACCACCTCCTCCACCACTACTACTACCGCCGGTAATAATAATGATAGGGTCCGATAGTTTCCCATAACCGGCTCTTGTCGCTGCTTGTACCATAACAAAATACCGTTTGCCCGGCGCTAAACTCGGTAGGGTCGTTGACGTTTTATTACCGGGCACAGTCACATTGCCCCACGTCGCCATCAAGTCCATGGTATACGCGACGAAATAATTTTGTATGATACCGTTCACGTTGCTCGGTTCTTTCCATGCGATTCGTACCTTCGTATTGTTACCCAAGAACCATTGTACGTCTTCGACCTTACCAGGAACTATTTGTTTAGAATAGATAATATTTAAAAAACCGATAAAAATATCTATATATTGTAACCAAATAATATAACTTTGTTTCTCACCATCTTCGTTTGTGTAACACTCTATAGATTCACTATAGAGACTGGTTTGATTCGTGTCGTGTCTAATAGCTCTTACTTTAAACTGATATAAGGTAAAAGGTTTCAGTTTGTCAACGTTTACTTTTGTGTCATCTCTGTAAATATTTTACATAGATTAAAAAAAACAGCTTTGTATTATAAAATTATATTCATTTTAAAAAGAAGATTAAGTCATATACTTACATAATAAAACATTCAGAATTGTCAGAAATTAGCGCATGTACTGCATGATAACAAAGTTCAAATGAATCTATGCTATGAACATCAGATAATGTCCATGTTACATTTATGGACGTGGGTGAGACAGGAATAGCCTCCAAAGCCATTTGTATGGTATCTAAATTACGAGATTATTGCATATAAAATTTTGTCTAATCTCTATTTAAAGAAAATATATTATGTAAAAATCTAACAAAAACTTACTAGCATTGGATTGTGCAGTCTCTATATGTTTTGTCAAGCAACCTGTTGCTTCGCCCAAGCTCACCATGCACAAACCCATGGTATAAGAAATATTCATATCTAGATAAAAATAAATTACTATATATTTTTTATCTGTAATGCTATCAAAAAAGGAGACCATCATATAATGCGAAATATTTACCAAGATCAGTAAACAGATATTCAGTAATGTTTTGTGGTAAAAGAATAGTAGCTAATTTTTTGCCATCTTGATTTTCACAATAAATTTGCCAGGAATCAAATTTTGATTCAATTTGATCATTTTGCTTGAAATTAATTTTCCATTTCATCTAGTACCGAAAGAAATGTTTATAAGAAATGATTCAAATAATCATAAATATTTTTTAAAATTCAATCAATAAGCTATATATAATATACTTATATACCTTAATTATCGAAGCGTTTACAATTAATACTTGAATATCCACAATATTCCTTATAGTAAATTGATTAGATTCAGGAGATGGCATGGTCACAGTAATCCATTTCAATTGTGTCTCACTAATATTTGGCCAGCCTTGTTTTGTTTTTGCCAATACTCGAAGATCATATTGTGCTCCGGGTATCAAATCTGCAGCCATAAAAAAAATACAATTATACAATGCACTGCTTTTATAAAAAGTAAGACCTAGATAGATACCTAAAAGTATGTAGTACTCAATAGTGGCAGGCAGATAAAGTATTCTGGAATATGAATGCTGGTGGAGTCTCCACTGTAGTTTATATTCCACTACAATGCCGCGAGATTCCTTTTTACTCAAAGGCTCCCATGATACATTTAGTTTTGTACTACTGATTATATCCACATTCATTTTTGGTGCGGCTTTAGGAACTGAAGAAACAGGTTCGTTATTTTAAAATTTAATTGAAAGAACATTACATTAGATTATAAAATTAACACAGATAAATAAGAAATACTTACCACTTGGAGCTGTGGAACACAGAATGGTAGCCGATTGATCGCTAGCACCATAATTATTCCACACTCGTACATAGAACGAGTAATTTGTAAACGGTTCAAGAAGCTTTGTTACTTCTACAGATGTAGAATTTCCTGGTTCTGGCGGAGAGACTTCTTCCTTGCCACCTTCTGTTATAAAAAATATGATATATTAAATATGTGGAAAAATATGTGGAATTGAACTGCAATTTTTTTGAATCTCTCTATATCATACTTATCCTAGATCATAATCGAACCCACCTACAGAACTATAATGGACGGTATAAGCTGTAATACTGGTATACGGTAGAGACTTTGGTGGTTCCCACGAGATTAAGATTCTAACTGGTGAAACAGCGTGACATTTTAGAGAAGTGGGTGCGGCGGGACTATTGCGCGACGTATTTACTTGTAGCCGACCAGCGGCCCAAATTTCACCCGCTGAATTTACCGCCACACATTGGTATATGCCAGAGTCAGACGGTACTGTCGCTGATATTGCTAATTCTATCTTATTGTATTCCTTAACATAAGTCGTTCTGCGACCTATCAACGTACAGAATGAGTAATCATAAGAGTATATTCAACAATCTGTTTTGTCTCAATAATTAATTTACCATTGATAGTAATATTCAACGAGTCTTTCAGCCAATAAATTTGAGGTACGGGTGATCCCTGCGCCTGACATTCAAATCTCGCTGTTCTTCCATTTGGACAGATTTGGTTCGTCGGCGTTTTTATAAATGATGGTGGTATCAATATGTCTACAGTTATATTCTGTAACAATTTAGACGAAAAATATATTTGTCATGTTTACATGCATATATATTCATTGAACATCTTTTATATATTTCATCAAGTTAATCATACCCACCTGTATTTCTAAATCATTGGTGATAATATTTTTTGAAGAACACGAGTAGATACCAGCATTGGAAACATTTACATTTGTTAATGGCAGTATAGCAATGCCATTAGTAGAATTAAAAAGGATGCGAGGTTGTGTAACATTATCTGAGAACATAAACACAATCAAATATATTAAATTTTGCTTAACACTTAAATATATGCACAAGATTGATTTTTTATTTCTTTACCTATATAACGAGGAATAAATGACCATGTTACGAGTGGTGACGGATAACCGGATGCAGCACATGCCAGATTAAGATTTGATCCATTGAGTAGCCAATGATTGTATGAAGTCTGCGGAAACAAGGATGACGGAGTATGCGATCTGTTACCATCTGCTCTTGAAATAACTGTTAGTTTTGCTTCTCTGCTCTTTTTGGTCTTTTTTAAAAATTCATTTGTGACTATGCATCTGGAATACAACATAATGTTTATTTATTTTAAAATATAAAAATAAATAATAAACAGAAAAAAAAAGAAATTGAAAATTATATTATATACCTGTATGAGCCAGCATCTGACAGTTTCGTTGCACTTATATACAGAACACCTGGTGGTATCATAGAATACTTTGATTCGTTATGATAAGATAACAATGTTTCGTTATGCTGCCACGTAATATTGGGTGGGAAAGGAACACTGTCTATCAAGCAAGACAATCTTGTAACTTCACCTTCTTGAACAGTAATATTTTCTGGAGATTCTTTAAATGCATGTGCAAACTCTGTAATGTATAATATTTGTTATAGTAATTATGATATTCTAGATTTCTTAAAAGAAATTTAGGCCGGTATTCATAGTCCGTTCTTATATCCAAGATCGTCTTAAGTACGATCTTATTATATATAATATTATATTTACCTGCTATTTGAATAAATGTAGGAGCTGACCGTATCAAACCTCCTAAACTGGTACGTGTTACACAACGATATTCATCCTTATTGTGGTTTCTAGCATTAACAATACTACTCCTTTCCTTTTCTTTGAACTTTTGCATTTGTAAATTTTGTTTCTATACATATAATATATAATTTAATTTCCAATATACATCACAATCTGACAATAATAAATCTATCAATGTATATACTGCCTTGTACCTTGTAAAAGTGAAGAGAGCCATTGGAAAGAAGAACACAGCGAGTAAGACCACATGGAGGTGCTGGTACTCCATTGTGCAACCAAGATATAGTCTCGTTTGAACCAGCTATACAACTAAGCGTGATTCCCTTTTTTCCTAGTATCACATGGCCGCTAGGTTGAATTTCCAGTGTTAATCCAGACTCCTTAGTTAGACCAGCATCAGAACTATCTGGTTTAGACACGTTTCTACCACTGATGTTCCCTCCAATACCCTTAACACCTGTCAAACAAACAATTTAAATACAACAATATTTTAAGGAGAAGCATCTGATAACATGAATAAACGAATACGCAATATCAGGTTGCAATTTTCCCTTTAAAAGTTTGCTACCGTACAAAAGACTTTTTAATTCATGCTTAAAGATTATACAATAATTGACGATTAGTCCAAAATAAATCTATTCTCTACTCTCGCATTACATTAGAGAATATATTTATTTTGAAACATTTCAATTTTAATTTAAGAAACAAATCATATAAAATTCTTATTACAAAAATGTAAAAACGATATGACAAAACTGCTTTTGGAAATCGCTTTTCTACGACGTACACCGATGAATGTCACCGATGACGGAATTAATTTACAATTTGTATACAAAACGGCGAGCTCTCTCGAGAACGTCGACGATGTCTGGACTCATGTGCGCATACAACCAGTACATCGTTCGATCCGCGATAATCTATCCCGTACTCGTCGCCGGGGAAGCAGTGTACTACCGACACGGAGATCGGTGCCAGAGGGGAGAGCGTAAACATACAGACAGATCGGCCGACACGCACCTGCGGCACAAGCTGGCTTCAGCACTTCCGTAATCAAGACGCTCAGCAAGAGTACTCGCGCCGCCATATATCCGCGCTCATCGGCAACGGCACGTGTATGTGTATGTGTGTGTGCCTTTGTGTATATGTGTACGTATAGTTGTTTCACTGGCAGAGCGCGGCGGCCGTGGCCCGCCGTCGTCGATTCGTTTTCTTCGACTTCCTCGTCGTCTTCGTCGTCGTCGAGCTGCTCGCGGGCAAAATTCGTCGCCGCATGTTTGACGTCGATCGGGCCGGCCTCGTCGGAGCCGAGAAAGGATGGAGCATCCGCTGCCGCCGGCCGTTCCGTTCGCCGAGCCGGAGCGCCCTTCTCCCTCCCCCTCTCTCCCGCCGGAATCCACCCCACTCCTCCCCTCGCGCTCTCTCTTTCACCTCGCGTGTGTATATACGCTCACATCGTCTCGACCGGCGCGGCGGCGGCGCGCTTTATCCGATACCGAAAAGCCGACGGACGCGGAGAGAAGGACCGGAAACTGCGATGCGGAAGCGAAGGAAAATCCCGGGCACTCGAGCGATCCGATGACACCGAGACACGACACCGTCGATCACCGCTTCTTACGGGAGGGAGGCCTGTCTCCAGAGTTTCACGTTTGCGTTGCGCGTCCTCGTCCCTTTTAGCACGCGACTCCTTCGTTCCTGCTTGCCATCTTGCCGTTCCTCGGGCGTCCTCGTTCTTTACCGCCTCCTAGCAACGCGAGAGGGAGATTCCAACACCGGCGGTCGCGCCGTCCGAAGGAAAGATAGGCGCCGAGATACTGATCGGCGAAGCCGGTACCGAATGATGTTTCAAGGCATCTATATTTTGACAGATGAGATATTAGTTGTCATTGGTACGGCTCGCAAAATTCGCAAAGCGAATTTATTCTGTGAAAAAAAAAA